GAAAGAGTCATATATGACATTTAGGAATTCTCAAGGTCTACTTCTCCATTTGGTTCCGTTGGAAGAGAAGGCAAAAAAAATTTTAGACAAATCTGAAACTTTACAAGTTTAAGATCAATTCTTCCCCTCACTTCACCTCCCAATAAAAGAAACAAGTCAATGAGCAACAAAAAGTGACCAAAAGCTGAAAAAAACTGTAAGTTATCGATCGGAAATTAATCACCAACCGGTATCACAAAACCATTCTGTTCTCCTCCCATTTTACTCGCTTTTCGCCGATACAACATAATTGGAACAATGACACTGTAAGAGATTGCACCAGCCAGAAGATTGATGTAATTACAGATCATTCGAACCGGAAAGAAAAAAGATACGTTTACCGTATAGGCTTTTACTGTATAGGTTCATTATGAAAGATTTGATTCCACCAGAATGCACAAAAAGACTCACCATGACAGGCAATCGATATTCAAAGGAATCACGATGAAATCCGATAAATTGTAGACTTGTTGGCCAGTAAACATAAGCCCCTTGAGGCATGAGACCAAAAATCGTGATACTGATAAAAATGAAAGCATCGAAGAAGAGAATACTCTGAACGGATTTTTTGCATTGATTTTAAACTTAAAACTCTTACAAGGGAACCTTCCCAAGTTACCCGCTAGTTACAATATGAGGGCCAAAAAAAAGGCCTGAAAATACACGTTCAGAAACTGTTTTCAAAAACCGCTAATCGGCAAAGCGCACAAAGTTACAAACATTTGAATTTCGAAAAAATGAAGGCTTTTCTCGAATTCTTCATTTTTTCGAAATTCAAATGTTTGTAACTTTGTGCGCTTTGCCGATTAGCGGTTTTTGAAAACAGTTTCTGAACGTATATTTTCAGGCCTTTCTTTTCAACCTCATATTGTAACTCGCGGGTAACTTGGGAAGGTTCCCTTGTTAGACATCGCCGTTTCGTTATGGATTTAGTTGAATGCTTTAAAACCTTTAAATGCAAACATTCTAGTTCTATTTTTGAACTCAACCTAGTCGTTCATTCAAGGAGAGGTTCATTTCTCTTGAAAATTCCGATTGCTTCAAATAACTTTGTGTCTAATTCTTTCAGGGATTGTGGAATTGACTACCGAACAACTTAAGAGAATGCAACAGCCTCGAGTCCTTTAAAAAATCAGCAAGTTGCAACTAGGGCAGATCAAAACGCCGAGACTTGAACCTGCGACCTTTCGCTTGCTTGCTTGCTTGCTTGCTTTCGCTTGCTGGGCAACTGTGCTAACCACTACACCACAAAGCACTTGACCTCCCTAATCCAGAGGATTCCAGAGGATGTTTCGTTAACATCCAGAGAGTGTTAACTAGTAGATAACCTAGATCTCTTGTGGGTAATTGATTGGATTTCCTTTATTCTAATCTTGCAATCTTTGTTTACCATTAATTTCTATAGTATAGATTTTCTAAATGATCTACCCAATAACAAAATGATGGAATCTTGTGCAGTTTTAACGGAAAAACGACTAAGATAAGTCGGTGAATCGAGATGATTCCACGCATGAAATCTGAAGAATAACAAGCAGAATAGGCAAAAGATATCGGAATCTAGGATTTCATGAACAAATGCTCTTCCTTTCTTGACTTCCTTTCTTAATTGATCTATGAATGAACTCACAATTGAATAATAAACTTCAAATGACATAAATATTGTCATAAATGCGGATCCGATATGATTAAACAATTGAACGAGATTCATGACACAAAGTTGACCCAAAGCCCAAAAGAAAAACGAGTCTCCGATTTGAGAATTCATCTTTCGTCGACATACCTTGAAATGGGAGTTGAATCAAATTTAAAAGAAATATTTTGGTAATACTTAAGAGTTTCAGCTCGGGGTAAACTCACCAAAAACATCGTGATATTGATGGGTAATCCGATAAATGAAGTAAACAATTGTGCTATTCCAAATAAAATCTTCAATCCCTTATCCAATTCCCACCAATCATCATTGGGGATATCTTTTTCGTTAAACCATAACCATTTATTTGAATCCATATTTCAACTTTTAACTAAAAACCAAAGAATTTATAACCGATAAACAAATCGAAAATAATGTGAATTTCAGCAATTACGTGCTTTCTTTAATTTCGCTAATAAAAATGGGCTCCGATGGGGAAAAGTGTAGCAAAAATTGGGTCGTTCTCCCATGGTAATCTAATTTTTATTGGCTTTTTCTCGTTCAAATTGCGAAATTTATTGTGAAAATGAGACCAAAGTTTGCCAATGAAAATGAAAGGATTTAAAGTTGAATTAAAGTTTCGCCTTTTCGAGGTTCGCTTTAGTGTAGAGAGCAACAACGCCAGCGCCGCCAATGCCTGAAATGTGAAAACCTGTTAGTCTGATGTTAGATTTCAAGAACTTCAACTCTTTACCAACCAATATTATGCTGTAGAGCATAACGGACATCTTTCACTTGTCGTTTCCCACAACGACCACGAAGTTGATTCGACAATTCGACAACTTGCGCCACACCTGGACAAACTTTACAACTCAAATATTCGTGAAATACAAACCAGTTGCCCCAATTGGATGTCCTTTTGATATCAATCCTCCACTCGGATTGATTACCCATTTTCCTCCGTATGTATTATCTCCACGATCAACGATTTCTCCACCTTTTCCTGAAAAGGAATTTGAAACTACAAAGATTCGAGTTTCAACTACCAATTGGACACAATCCCAACGCTTCATAAGACAGCAATTCGTTTGGTGCAAAGCAATCGTGAAGCTCGATTACCTAAAGAACATTTCAGAACATTGGGCAAGAATATTTCAGCTAAATCAAGCCATTTACCTGTACATGATTCGGTCCGATTCCAGTCTCTTTATACAAATCATTAGCTAATTTATGCATCATATCAAATCCAACCATTTTGATGTTCGAATTTTCAGAAAAAACTGATGGTAGATCGGTTCCGAGTTTTATGCCTGAAGGTGTTTGAGGGGAAAATTAGATATTTTTCTACAACTCACCAACAATTTCTATGGCTTGTTCCCATAAATGTGAATTTTTCCGGAGAAATTTCTCTGAGCAAAGAACAATTGCTGCGGCTCCATCGGATGTCGGACTGATGGGATAAAATTGAAAGCATTTTAAAGGCCTTACCTGCACTCAAGTAATCCCATAAACTCATGAATCTTTCTGGCGTTCACAATCTGATCCAATGAGTATTCTTTTGTAAATTGAGATTTTCTGAAGGAGTTAAGACTTTTTGCAATTAAGAGGAAACTCACGGATTATTCACCGAATGAAGATGATTTTTCCAGGCGATTTTTGCGAAATGTTCTCGTTTTGTGCCTGAAATTTGGAATTGAATGGATATTGGTTTGGTTCTTGAATAGTTTTCTGTCAAATATGCTCAATTTACCGTATTTTTCCATATGTTCTTTCCCGGCATTTCCGAACATTTGAGCGGTGATTGGAGAGGCGTTTAAACCGTAAGTGTCAGACATCACCTAAATATTAGGTTGTCCAGTTATGAATGCACGCCTGCTCTTGAACAACTTGAACAGCATTCCTTAGAGCTTTACAATTTTATCAAACCCAATTCTCTATATGCTGTTCAGGATTTCTTATTTTATTACAGCTTTTCGTATTTTTGACGTCAAACCAATTTTTGATTTAGTTTCTGTGAACGACACGAAGTTTGATCTCCGTGCCAGTCTTTGGTATGACTTCAAATTGGGCAAAAATACCGCTGTATCTCATCGAGACCTTTGGAAAGTATTTTGGAAGATGCTATTCCGGAAAGCCAGTGTCGGCGATGTTTTCAACGATTTCGAGAAGAAAATGAATTTTTGGGAGATGAGGATCACCACCAACGGCCTCCTACGATCGATAATGCAGTACTTAAACAGGCGATCGAAATTGATCCTCGACAAACTACACGTGAACTTGCAGAAATTTTTGGAATAAGCCCTCAAAAACGCGCATTTATAACTGGACAACCTAATAGATACCTACAGTTTTGTCAATCATCTGAATGTCCATCTTTTCACCTGAATATGATTGTCCATTGATGTAGCTCTTGTATCGGTTTTCTGTGCATTTCTCATATTATCCAACGGTCCTGTTGCCATTTTCTCAAATCCCACCGCCATCACAATGTCCGCGTTTCCTGTAGAAGTCAAAGCGGTACTTTTTATTTTGCATTTTTACCTGATTCAATAATTTGTTTACACAAAAACACTCCTGAAGATCCAGAAGCGCACGCGTTGTTCACGTTAAAGATAGGAATTCCGGTCAAGCCAATCTCATAAAGAGCTCGTTGCCCACAGCAAGTGCCTGAAGATTTTTGTGTAAGGAATTGAATCCTCTTTGCCTGTTCATCACCTCCAAATAGATAAGATACGGTAGCTTGCTGTATATCTTTATATTGCAGTTTAGCCTCGGAAAGCGCTTCGTTTACTGAAACTTTCTGTAATATAAAAACTTTTTCAACAATACCAGCTTCTTTGACTAAATCCGGATAATCCATTCCCGAAGAACCGGGCTTTGAAAACTAAATTTATTTTTCTATTTTCTATTTTCTCTAATAGTAGTGCACCCCCTAAATTGCTCGAAATCTCGAGAACCGCTTATCAGAATCTATCGATGTGGGGTCGGAAAATGTGGCTGACGATGAGATCTAGTGGGGGATTAGAGAGTTGAGCTTCTGCAAAAGCTTGGAAACCGTAAAATAGTCACCAACTCGGCTCGCCGGGGTGCACTACTATTAGAGAAAATACGGTATATGTTATTTACTATTTAAAAAATCTTTTATAATCGCTCAAACCTTTGTCATTCCTCCACCAATCACATACACTTTCGGCTTCGACATTTTTTTCTTTGGAAACTGATAGTTTAACCTGAAATGATTTGGAATAATCTTAAAAATTCATATTTCAAAAATGGATAACAACAAGTAACCAAAAATGACAACTCTCCACCTATTTATCCCTTTCATTTGATGTTCTTATCATTTCGAGTGATCACACTACGAAATACGAATGATCTGGTAATGAGAGATTTGAGAAAAATAAGGAGAACAAGTTGCTAAATGATCAGCGAGAATAAAAACTGAATAATGCTGTACTTAAGAGTTTAAAAGCTTTACAATACTTAAACTTCTACAAATGAACTTTTGGCCGAGATTCTGGAAGACAAAGTGGAGACGAAGAAGGCCAAAACAATGCAAAACATTTTAGTCGTTTGAAAAAGATTCAGAAACGAAGCTATAACAAGATTGAAAGGCAAAATGTCAATTGCCATTGAAATTCAATGAGCCAATTGTCAAAATGGTCATTGTCAGCTTTCTTCGATGCATCAATCCCAAATTAACATCTCGATTGATTTTGATTGTTCTCGAATGGTAGAATTAAATCGATCCCATCTTCCCTAGATATTTATCCTCTTTTGTCAATCGGTTGATTTCTTTTTCTCATGTGATGTCTTCTTTATCTTTAATACAACGTGATCTTTGAAACCCTCTATATTCTGTATCATTCTCTCAATTCTACGATCATCTCAACAAGATTTCCCAAGGATGCATCCCTTTACTTCGAAGAGTTCACTTGGTCTACTTTGGTGATGTAGCTATAGGTGAATCGTTAGACTTTACAAGCGTCACTTTGATTACAGCTTTCATTTTCAGGTGATCCCAATCAGTGGTCTCATGGGTGTTTCTGGTCTTGGAGAAGCTCTCTTTTGTGGTGGAACCCATCTAATCATTGTGCCTCTTGATCTACTCAAGTGTCGAATGCAAGTAAGACAAAAGTTGAGTCTTTTTATGTCTTTTATTCAGGTTGACCGAAGATCCCATCCTTCTTTGTCGACGGTTTTTCGATCTCCGATAATGGTGAGATTTGATGTGTTTACAAGAGTCAATCAGAATCGAAATTACTTTATAATTAGTTAAAAGTTCGTTTTTTTTTCAATTCCAGGTGTACGAGGATTAGCTCCTGAATGGGCCTCAACAGCAATCGGATATTCGGTATGGTTTTGCCTATTTATTCCCCTATTTGGTGTATTATCACGATCACTTATTAAAGGTAATCGTAAAAAGATTCCATTTAAAAGTTTTGACTGGATGTGTGGCTGGTGAGTTTGACTCTTGATAGTGGATAGTTGAATACTCGAAGTACTTGAAGTACTTGAAGATTGTCCTTATTTTGTTGCCTTCAGGTGTTATATGTGCTGGGGTTCTCACCCTCTCGATGTGATCGTCTCTCAAATGTCCAACAACGCTTACATCGATTTCCGTTCGAAGATTCGGTTCGTTTTTGATAAATTTTTAAACTTACAAGAGTTTCTTTTCTGGTGACCGAAAGCCTTATTTTCAATAATACAATTCTTTAGAAATGTTCGATTGATAGGAATGTGGTCTCGAGACGCGAATTTTGATGATCTTTGCCGCTGTTCAACTTTTTGCCGTTGGTGTCGTTAAGATAAGCTTAAAGCAAACGAAATCTAAAGTCCTTGGAACATATTTTAACTACAGTATTTTATAGTGCAATAGATTGAATATGCTAATTAAAAAACGAATTTTCCTGAACACCTTTCCTTGGGGCATACTGTATGTCTGCGGTAAGACTCAGTGCTGTTTAAGCTTTCTAAATATCATTTTAGCTATAAGCTGTAATTAGATCAGGCACTATTCATTCTCTTATTCCTTTTTTGTACCCACTTTTTTCTCATTTTCAGGTGACTTTCAATTTCGAGCAACCAATCGAGAAGAAATATTAAAGAAAACAACAAAAATCTCTCTTAAAATCTATTAAATTTGTGATATTCAGCCTATTGATTTGTTGTTTCTTTTATTTGATAAACTTTAGAATCTATTGAACTTTCGGAAACATTATAACAGCCTGTTGGGCCATTATAACAGACTCATAAGCCTGTTGGGTACAAATCTGCAAAAAATTTCTAATTTTACAAAGTTAGCAATTTTCAATAGATCTTTCCCAAAGGAATCCGTTTGAGTTCGAAAATATTCCGAATTGATGCAATTTTTGTGGCAAAAAGCAGACACAAAAATACCTAGAATCGTAAAAAAAATATCCGAAAAGACAGCCGTTTTTCCATCACCCGGAAAACGGAAAAAAAATCCAATTTGCTCAACTTTTTTTATTGGAACACAAAGTTTATGACAACCAGATAATTACCAGCTTTTCCCCTTTCCTTTTATGATTCAGAAATTTTACAAAAAAGAACTAAAGATTTACTGTCATTTGGTAAACAGGGAAAAACGGCAAGTAACTTGTTCAAAGTTTCCTGTTTATAAACGATTATTTGAGTATTTATAAAGCCATTTTCGATAAGTAAACTTTGTTTTCATTTTGATTTGATTCTTGCCTGTGCATTGTACTCCTTGTTTTAACATTAATTCTATTCCATTTATGTTTAGCAAGCTACACTTATAGCATCCAGTAAGTTCCTGAACACCTTTTGCATTTCGAGTTATTCACGATAACAAGAGGAAGTGTTGTCACTTTGGATGGTGTTGAAGCTCAAACTTTACTAGGGAACTGTTTCAACCCGGCATCGAGTTGGGAAATGAGGCATCTCAAAAACGCTCTCTTAAAATTTTAAAGGACATGTGCTTTTCAATTTTACTGAATCAATACAAGAAAAACGAACTTCAATTGATATCTTATTCGAGAAAAACGCGTTTGAAGTTCGGAAAAACGGCGCCGCCATGGTAGCGCCAAATTACTTTCTTCCAAAAAGCTACCGGATTGCGTAGAGGATAGTATGCACGGGTCTCGTACCGAGTGGCCCTAATTCATCTCCTCGTACTGTCAATTCTTTTTTGCTTTTAGGTTACAGTTAACTTAAGTTACAAAAACCCATTTTTAAGTACTCTATTCTGTCTAGGGATTTCATTTTGATTTGATTCTTGCCTGTTCATTGTGCTCCTTGTTTTAATATTAATTCTATTCCATTTATGTCTAGCAAGCTATACTTATAGCATACAGTAAGTTCCTGAACACCTTTTGCATTTCGAGTTATTCACGATAACAAGAGGAAATGTTGTTGCTTTGGATGGTGTTGAAGCTCAAACTTAATATCAGCTTAGTGTTTTTCATTTCGATTTCCCACCAAAATTCTCTTCCTTGTACCACGATTACTCTATGATTAGCTTTCCTTTTTCCAAATTTACTTTTTAAACGAATTTTCCCTTTTTCCCTCTTTTGATCTCTGAGAATATAAATTTTAAATCAAACCGATGATTATAAGCTGTAAAAACTGCTCAAAAAGACGGGAAACATTACAAAAGTCTTAAACAGCTTCATCTTTATCACTTTTACAATATTTACATCATTCAAATCACTTTCAGACATTTTATATGGATGGAAATATCACAATTGACGACGAGATTTGCTTCAATCGATATCTTTTCTCTCAAATTTACTCCCTTATTTGGTGTATTATCACGATCACTTTATTTTTATTCCTTTTCTATACAATGCTCAATTTGCGACACGCCTTTCATCCATTTTTCAGGTAAAACTGAAAGCAATCCACCCCAATCATTCCCCATTTTCAGCTTTTACTTTACATCCCTTCTTTTCCTCTATATTGCCTGCATGAGTGCCCAATTCACACTTCGTTTTTTCCAAATTGAGCTTTACATCGGAATCTTCAGCGATATTGTATTAAACATTCAAAATTACACCTATTTCCTTGTCAGTCCAATCAATGTTTTCTGTGTGAGTGAACGGATTTGCGCCACATCAATTCGTCGATATGAATACTCAAGAAACTATGCGTTATTCGGCTTCTCTATAGTCATTGCGGTAAGGTTTTGAATTACTTCTGAATCAATTACCCAATTGTTATTCATATAATCATCCTTTCATTTTCTAGCTCTCTCTCGCTACCGTACTCGCTTTCACAGAATTTGGTGAGTAAACAAATTTTTTGAAAAACTTTCTCCTTTACAGGTGCTGCTTATGTGGTTGAGTATGCATTGATGGCTCAAGCGTTGATCTCTTTATTGGTAAGTGTTAATTGGATATCTTTAAAGATAATAATTTACTTTCAATTTAGTGCATTTTCATATTATATTTCGTGAATCTTCATCGAACAAAGAAATTGACGAAATGTGGTGGTGGAGAGCTCACTTTGAGATATCAGTTAGCTGAGAATATTAAAGGTAATCCGTAAAAAGACTCTAGTTAAATGTTTTCCTGATTTCTAAAGAAGGATTTGAAGATTTGATTTAAAGAAAAGTTCAAATGGTGTCTTTGACAGTTGAGTAGTTATTCTTTTGTTACACTCAAGCACCAAAACAATACACAACAACAACAACAACAAAAACAACAACAACAACAACAACAACAACAACAATACCTGACTTGATGTAGAGATTTTCACAATCAAAAATCAAGCATCAATTTCTGGTAAACAAGGTTATTCTTTTACTTGAAAATCTGAAAAATTATAAACTGTATAAGTTTAAAAATGAGAAAAAGTAAATCAAAATAATTAACTAAAAAAGTAACAAAACTAAAAGCATGCAAAATTTCAGCAATGAAAACTCTTATCCCGTTTCTTTTATTGGATAATATGATCACTTGGAATGATCAATTATTTGATCTTCTTTTTGAAGTTAATTATTTACAACCACCAATACTTTGCACAAAATCAACGAATAATCTTCTTTTTCTCATATCAACAACGGTTAGTTTAAAGAGTGACTTGTTATTGAAAAGGAAATAATCCAATCCAATTCCAATTCCACCTATCAACTTCCAGACTCGATCTCTTTTTTGTGCTTCTCAATCACTTATCATTCTTTCATATCACGAGCTTTTCCGAAAGAAATTCCTCGATATTTTCTGTTTTTCTGTCATCAAAAGACCCCCGGAATTCATGTCAAGAAGAACTCAACCAACGTGCAAAATGAAGAAATTGAGTAATGTTTTGGGTGCAGAGATCAAATTGGCTATCACACAACAGGAATATTTTGATATGATGAAAACATATTGGTGAATAAAAAGTGGGTCCTCATTTACAGAGACATAAAAGGGTTACCCTTGCTCTTTGCAAAAGATTGCTTTGTTATTGAACTTGTTCATCTCTTGAGAGTAAGGCGCATGAAAAAGCAACTTCCAGCGCAGCTCGTCAATTTTTTTTGTGAGTGCTTTTTGCAGTGTGCGGTTTCGCGTTGTCGTGCAAAAATCGAATCTTTGATGGATTGAGTCCAAATTTCTTTAAAGCATCGTTAACTCTAGTCAATTGTTTTGAATAGAGATCAGCATCAATGTTTTCCCCTGAATTAGCTAACTCATAGTACACCAAATCTTTTGAGTTCCACCAGCAGCAGAGCATTATTTTCTTTCCATGAGTATCAGGTTTGGAAATGGTTTGTCCGGTAGATAGCCATTGGTTCTTCCTTTTAACATTCTTGTAATTAATCCAAGTTTCATCAGATGTCAAAATCGAATCCCAAAAACCATCAGCTTTGTATTTATGGAGCAAAAAAAAAACTGACGTTGTTGACAAACTGACAAACTGACAACGATTGACGAACTGAAGTTGACAAAAAACGACCCGAGTTGTTTTTTTGTCTTGAGTCAGTTCGTGCGGGATTCATTTTCTACAGCGAATTTTTTCCCGAGTTGGTGCAAATGGTTGTCGATTGTCTTCTACATCAAAAACATTTCTACAAGCTCGCGAATCGTGAGTGTTGGGCTGAAGTCAATTTCAATTCCCCAATGCGGAATTCAAAACGCTCATTATTTTTTTTTCCTCAACCTAATAAAACACTACTCTAACGAGACGCTTTTGTTCAATTAGTTCACAGAAACATTTTTGACTGAACACAGCAATTTATCATCATTGCTACAGAGAATCTACGCAAAAAATGTTCTCATTTGGCTCAAAAAAACAAAAGGAACTGTATGGATTCATTTTATGCTAACGAAATGAGGGTAACGATGTACTCTACTGACTGAGTGTGGCAATCTTCAAAATGGTTCTCATTTAAGCTTTTTATAGCTTACTATTGCCTTTTACTTCGTTTTATTTATCAAATCAAATTACTCAAACGAAATGAGGCCAAATCTCAATTTTCCTACATGAGTAAGTAGGAAAATTGAGGTTTGATCTCATTTTTTGCCTCTTCCCTGTACAAACAACATTAAACAGACATTTCACTCTTGTTAAATAATCAAATAGTACAAAGTTTCGCAGAAATACACCCAAATTGTTGCTAGGATTTACAGAAGGAAACTCTCTGGAGATTTCCAAATACGAAAATTAAAAAGAGCTTTGTCTTTGGGATCGAATCTCGACAAAAAAGAATACTTTCCAAGAAACTTCATCATTCGTAAATGTTAAAGTAAAGGTCACCCAATCGTTTACTTTGTTTCAACTTAAAACAACTTCAACATACTCATTATTTTTGTGGTCAGAGTTTTTGTGGTCAGTTCAAGAGACTAATTACAAGTATTTCCCTGTTCATCTCTTTTCTCAAAGATCTTTTTATTTGTGTTTAGCGAAAAATGAATGGGTTCAACATTTGAAGCAAACCACAAGTATGTCTATTTTATCTTTTTATAAACATTCTCGAAAACTGGATATCTTTTGGTTTAATAAACGAATTTGAAAATAGTCAGTCTTGAAATACTTTTGATACTTTGAACTTGCCACCAACTTTCCCCAAACTACAGTGATCTTATAGACCAGTCTCTCATCCAAACACCTTTTTACAGTCTTCTCTCATTTCAGTTTTCTTCCAGAAACTTTCCCATAGATATTTTGCTTTCAAAACTCTCCAATCCTTTAGTTGTTGGGGTATTTCCAATCTGCCATGATTGATTCATTTTCTCATGATACTCCAATTCTCTGCATCAATCTACTTGTAGCGGTGCTTTGTTGACCACTTTTCTTCCCTAGTATATGCAGATCCAAAACGACAAAAGCACGCTTTTTGTAAGCAATTTCTGTCTGGATTCACCGTATTTGAAACATTTCTATCCGTTCAGCTTTCATTTCCCCACGTGTATTCCACTACAAATTAAACCATCTATATGTTATGTCCTATTTGGAAGATATGAAGATAAAAGGTTCCAAAATCGGACGTAACATAGCACTTTTTCTTACATTTGCTTCCTTTTGTTGTTCTGATATTCTTTTATGTGCTTATACTTTCTAATTTTATTGATTCTCAAGATTTTAACTAGATGTTTTCATTGAATATTTCAACTATGCAAAACTTTCAGTCTACTTGGTCGAAAACCTTTTATGCTCTCATCATGCAATCAACTTATGAATGGCAGTTGATTGCTTTGATACAAAAGATTATGGAACTATTTTAGCCGCTTCACAAACAATAATATCCATTAATAAACACTGAGAATCAAAATAAACTCCCTCAAAATCATGCAACTTTTTTGGATAGATGTTTGAGAACTAAAATATTTCTAATTTCCGTGTCTATCGCCTCGAGTTGGTCAAATGATCTTGCTTTAATCATTATTTTGTTCTAAAGTCTTTCTTTCCTTAATAATGTTTCATTTTGTTCTGAACTCTCTTAACAATTGCACTTAACAAACCGGAAACCCAGAAATAGCCACACAAATCATTTTAATCAACACCGATTGTTAGAATCCGAACTCTAATTTTCAATGAAACTTCAATAGACAAGGATCATTATAGAAATTTCGTTATAGAAATAAATATTCTTATAAATTGATCCTTTGTAAGTTGATCTTGATTTCATTTGAACTATTGAATACTTAGGGAAGCTTTTGCAAGCGTAGATTCATTTGTACTTTGTAGATTTAGCTGTTGCAGGTGCAATTGGCTGTAGAGTCTGACTCTGGTACATATTCTTAGTCAATGAATGTGAGATACGACCAAAATAGCTAAGGATAGCTGTGAGGCAAATCAGAAGCTGTTGCTCGGGCGTCATGAAATTTGGTGGACTAAAATGTGTTTGCATTTACTAGATGACTCTTATTAACTATGCTTACAGTAGACTTACATGTCTAGAGTATCTTGTAGCTAGAACTGTAAATGAACGTTTCTTATTCCCTATTCTCTATTTGATGAACAAAAGATCTTTTCCATTTCGCTCACAAATGATGTGTTCTTCTCGAAATTACTCACACTGCTGTTTGTAGCATTTATCCTTTTATTCCTTTCTTGTATTCCTTTTATTCATCTTATTCCTTTTCTCCAACGCTTGATTACATTTCAATCGTTCCCTTACCTCATCATTTCTTCGTACCTTTCCCTTTCTTTTTCTTTTGTTCATTTCTCAGAACTTTTCCCCATCTCTCCAAGCGGTAATTTCAAAAAAACGAACATTTTTCGCCTGTTCACAAAAATTGTTTCCAAGAATCATCAATGAATTGAATAAACAATTTTCAAAGGCAACCCTTGAGTCTCCAAAATGTTCCAAATCAGAAAATCGTTCTTTTTTCAAATTTCCCATTATTTACCCTTTTAATATCTTTGTTTTCTCTAAACATTTTGTGATATTTCATTTCATTTCCCTACTCGCAATCTCTCTTCCCGTGATCTGTAATTTGAAAAAGTTCTAATTATCATAGAAATTAAAAATTCTTCTTTCATAAAAACTTGAGTCACGAGTTGAAGTAAAAAACGTGAAATGTTTGCCCTTTTTCTTTTTAGATTGCTTAATTAGTGTATAATTTGTGTTTTCGTCTTCGGAAATTTAAAAATCGACAGTTTAATGATTGTAAAACTACTGTTTTCTGGTTTTGAAAGATCAACTTCAACAAACGGAAAAGCTTATAAGGACTGCTTACAATTTGAGTACAATTTTAGCGTATACATAGTGGAGATCAAGCGCTTCACTAGTTTATCTGATTAATTGCTTGTTTTAAGTTTTAAACTTGAAAGCAGATCACTTATCTATTTTCTTCAGCTTTTCATTCAATCATTCCTAATTTCTCTTACATTTCCCGATCTTTTGACCAACTTGAGACGTTGAGCTTATTCGAAATCCTCCCATGAGTACTTAAAAATGTTTCTCAAGCCTCATTATTTAATTTCTTTCAATTCCTCATTGTTTACTACAATCTTTCTTAGATTGACCTCATTCAAAGAGGGAAATAACGAGTTTGGATTGATCTACTCTAGAGAAAACTCTGGCCTAACTCATTGAGATTAAGGTTAGAGCTAGAGATGCTTAACCGAGATCTAGAGAAATCGGCGGCGTCGGTGTTTCCAATTTTAACGAAAACTGTAACATTTCAGAGATTTTCATTCGATTCCCTCAATAGCCCTTGATTGAAGCTTTCGATTCCGACCCCCCATCAATAGTCTAATTCAACGGGTGAACAGATTTCGATCATGTCTTTGAGGAGCTCTAAATGACCATTTACCGTTAAGCATCTCTACTTTAAACCATCAGATACATTATCTTCTTGTCGGATTCGTTTTATTTTATCATTTTATCATCTATCTTTACCTTTCCCTAACTGTTTAGCCTTGACAAATCAGAATTTCCAGCCATTTTGTACATGAGTGATGATGTGGAAGTGGGCGATGGCTTGTGTGTCGAACGATACCTCTACCTCCAATATTTATCTCTTTTAGCTTTGGGTATCACGATGATTTCATTCTCTTTTCTCTTCTTGACATCTTTCCAACTTCGACACGCATTCCATCCATTCTTCAGGTGATCGATTCTCATGTCTGATCGTTAAAACAATTTTTGTCAAGACATTGATTCAAACATTTAATTTAAACCATGAAGAGATTAAGAATTCATTCTTGTTTCTCTCTTGGGATTGAGAAGAGACTTTCAGAATGACGAATGAACAAAAAAGTGGATGAAAAAGTAGAATGGGGAAACTGCAAGCTGTAAGGGGACATTTTAGAATTGATTTTCATGGGTTTTTCTTCAAAACTAGTGACTATTTCAAGGTTACTCTGAAGGAACTTACTAGAGTTTCTGAAGAAGAGAGAATCTTTCCGAAATCTTTTTAAACCAATCCCTTCCCCTTCCAATATTCCATTTCCAGTTTCTACTTGATATTCTTGATATTTCTCTACAATTTTGTCATGTACATCCAATTAATTATCCGTCTTCTTCATATCATTTTCTATGAGGGAATTCTCGACGAAATCCTCCTCACAATTCACAATTTTGCCTATTTCCTCATTTGTCCGATCAATTTATTTTGTGTAATCGAGCGAATATTTGCTACAAACGTTCCCCGATATGAACATCAAAGGAATTATCCATTCTTTGTCGGATCCATATTCCTTGCGGTATGTTTCCAATTTCCAGTACTTACCTAGCAAAGTTTGCGTGATTTCAAATTGCAAACTTTTCTCAATTTCCACTTTTCAGCTATCCTTAACCGGTTTGCTCACCTACGGCGAATTTGGTGAGTATTCAGACATATTTTCAGAAAAAATTAAAGAAATTATTAATTTCGACTTACAATTAGCCAAAATCATCGATTTTTGAACTTTCAGTCTTTTCAACTTTTGAAATTTACAAATCTGAATGAAACTAATTCAATTTTCCAATCAAATCTCGTATTTTAGTTGCCGAATATGTTGTTGATTGTACCCTGTTGGTACAAGCATTTCTCTCGTTTGTGGTGAGTCATTTTTGACAGCAAAAATTTAAAGAAAGGTATTGAAGGAATCTTTTTTAGTGCATCACTATCCTTTATTTTATCAATAGAGATCGAACAAAAAAGTTAACGAAACGAGGAGGAGCAACATTGACATTGAGATATCAAATGGCTGAAAATATTAAAGGTGATCAAAGCGAGAAATTTGGTTGATTTTTACAATGTCTTTATTATTTTTACAATGTCTTATTAAACAAGCGGTAAAGCTCGCCTAACAGTGTCTAGGGCCCACACGATCCGGGTTCGACCCCCCCGTAGCAACACTCAATTTTGACTTTTTAATTTTTGCTTTTAAATGGCAAAACTATATTATATTAGGTTGACGCATAAGTCTTTTCGTTTTTTTCGTACTTCTGTTAAAAAGTAACAAATTCACCAATTAATCTATAGTTTGCTCTATAAAAAAAGTGTTTTTTTGTTCAATTTGCATCTTTTTAAATGAATTTCGGTTCACTTTCAAGCAAATTCGAGAGTGAAAAACGCCTTTTTCGTAAAAATCTATAAAAAACTCTACGGAAAAATTGGCTGAATGAATTTCTCTGAAATTTTGGCGAAATATCAAACTTTTTTTTCTCTATCTTTTATCTATTGACACGAAGATAGGTTTTCTTTAGCTAAGGTGTCTAAACCGCATCATCGAGTTAGCCCTTTTTGACTACCCGACTTCATACTCTCAAGAAAATCCAGGCATAAAATATTTTTAAACCCGTTTTAATGTTATTTTGCAGAAAAATAATTGGTTTTTCTAATGAAATCAACCGTAGTTTAATTCGTGCATTTGTTGGCTTGAAACGGCAGACGAAAAAAATGAAAAAGACTTTTGCATCAACCTAATATTTTAAGACTTTTTAAAAAATTTCAGTTTTTTTTTGGCCCAAAGACGGCTGAGAAAAAGTCCGTACAGACCGACAGACTCCTGTTTTATCCATAGTAAATTCTCGAATGCCATCCTTTCAGCCAGCCGTGTCCTCATTCCATTTCTTCTAATGGATAACCTCCAAACTTGGGTTGATCAATTCTTCGATGTAATCGGTCATGTCGATTTTCTACAACCTGAAATTTCTTGTTCTGAATATGATAAAACAAATGGCTACCTCATTTTGACTATCGTAAGTTTATCAAATAAAAATAAACCAAAAAAGGCAACTAGTAAAATTAATGCCAAGAAAATTCATGCTGATGTTCATGCTCCATGCCGTTTTTTCAAGCGTTATAGGATAGCTTTTAACAGCTAGTGAACAGCTTGTGGGTGGTTTTTTCGGTTTATTTTTATAATCTATCTAGTACACAAACATAACACGCGCACAAATCAGCAAGTAAACCAAAAAAAGTGGAGCGCAACTTCTAGAAAAAAATTACACAGTATACCTTCGTAATTTTTTTAGAAAAAGTGAAAGGTAACTAAGCATGAATTGAAATGGCATGAAAAAACGGCATGATGCATTGAATTTTACTTGTTACCAATCAAAAATCAGATCTTTCTATTTCAGCTCGAACCTATAACAAACCCTATTTAGGCTCGAAATATTCTATGTGCCTTACAACCAGTGATCATTATTCGTTTTCATGAACTTTTCCGCAAAAAATGTTTACGATTATTCCAAAAACAATCTGGACGAAATTCGGGAAGAATTTCCACAAAGAAAACCCATCCGACAACCGGCATTACAAAATTGAAAAATGTTTTGGGATCA